GGAAGCAACTGTAAATAATAAAGAATTAAGGCAAAATTATGATGGCTCTACACAAACAGTCCCTGCCTTCTGATGCGCTCAAGGGAAGTTCACAGACTCTGCAGTCTATGAGAATGTAGTCAGGCAGCTCTTTTTCACAACAAAAAAAGCAATACTTCTATGTGATCCTAGAATAAGAGTCCTACCTAGCACAACCATTCATCCTTCACTGCTTGCAGTTACCCACCCAAATTAGTAAAATGATTTTTGGCAGGGCTGATCCTCCCATGCCTTAAACACCTAATCCTCCCATGACTTAAACACATTCCATCCAGGAAGAGCACACACCAACTGCTGAAACTTTCTCAGCCTGACGAAGGGTTTTTAAACCCGAAAGCTTGCTTTAAAAAAATGTTTTTCCAACTATTTAAGTTGGTCTCATAAAAGATTCACCCAAAGAACCTTGTCTGCCTATGTCCTAAGACCAACACAGCTAGAACCTACACCCCTGCAATGCACTATGAATCCCTTTAGACCTTAGGCCAATAATAATAATTAGATGTCTAACAAAACAAGGCTAAATGTTTTGTTTAAAGCACCCACTTTTGGAAGGCCTATCTTAAAGGACTCGTCCAATGTCACATGGAATCAGAATTTGTGAGATCCTCTGCCCCATTTTCTATCCACCAGCCTATGTGAAAACTTCAGCCAGGGTATCTTTGAAAAGAAATACCACTAAGTACTCAGCTTTCCTTAAATCAACAGGAACTGGATGATTAGCTCCTTTTTGTACTTTCTCTTTATTCTCTAAAGGGCTTTTCTCTTCTAGAAAATATTTTCATTAGGCACACTGAAAATATAACCTTTTTCTTTGTCTTAAATGTCTTACCAGAAAACCTTTTTACTGCATTTTCCCCTTCTGGGATTTAAAAAGGTTAAAATCTTATTATTTAAAGTATTACTTTAGTTTGTCATCCATTCCTTGAAAATGAGGAACAGTGGATGGCCCTGTGGTTGAAGCAGCATACAGAGGCTGAACACTGATGTTCTGTTTCTGGGTCTGTTTCAGGTGGCTACATGACTTTGACCAGATTGTGTTTTCTGGGCCCCTATTTCATATTTATAAAATGGGACTTGAAGGACCTCACAAAAGTGCTGAAATTCTTCAGCATCTGTCCAATTCTGTTGTTGCCCTCCACCTAAAGCTTTTGAAGTTACTCTCAATAATCTCAATACAGATTTTTATTCTTGGACAGCATTTACATGTTCCACACATGCGCAAAGCTCTCCTGAAAGCTCTGACCAGTGCGGGGTGTGGAACCTGCTTTCATCCATGGAACTTTCCACAGGAGGTGGCATAAGGAAACCTCTAATGATACTCGGTGATTTCCATTCCTAAAGCTCCAAGTCAGAATTCCTTCTGGTCCTTTCTTCTTAGCTGTTTTACTGATCCTTTAGTTAGGGTATTTTGCATATGCAGTTAGTAATAGTCAGTAACTCTAGCAGGGAAAGTTAGATTCCTTGTTCTCCCTATATACACACTTAAGGATGGGCAAACATAGAAGAAACTGGAGGTTCACTAGGGCTTCCAGAAATTTAGGTGCTGATCAAACTTCTTGGCCCTCTTCAGTTCTGGTCACCCCCCATCTCAAAAAGGATGCAAAAAACCCATGAAAGGTACAGAGAAGAGCAACAAGGATGATCGGTGGTACAAAACTCTTCCACACAAGAAGAAACTAAAAAGACTAGGACTTCTTGGCTGCACCCACACAAGCATGGATGTTTGGTTCTCTGGGGACAACTAGCAGTGGCACACCTTGTGCTGTCGCTAGTTGTCCCTGGGGAATGCCTATATGCACCCTCTGGTGCGTGGCAGGTTATCCTGGGTGGGTAGGAGAGGTTGGGGCCAGCACTGGGGTGGACCCAGCAGCTTTACCTGATGTCTTTGGTGTAGCAGGCAAACTGAGTTACGCTAAGGCTTTCTGACCAGAGTTTAAGTCTTCCCAGAACTAAGCAATAAAATTGTACAGAGTGCCTTATAAGGCAGTAGAAAAAGCGAGTGTTGTGATTGGTACAGTAGGCAAACCAGATACAGCAGTTTCCCTAGAAGGAAAGAAAAGCAAAACCGGAATAGGATTGGAGTACCTTATCTAAAAGGATGAGGTAAGAAACTTGAGGATTGGACAATTTGGGGTGAGAAAGTTACAAACGTTGTGGAGAAACAAAGGAATACTGTTGTGTTCATGTTGTCACCCTGGGGAGGCACGGCTAACCATGGAATTCTTGTTCAAACAATGGGAAATCCAGAAACACACATCCCACACATCCAGCAAAGGATCCAAGGCCAGTATCACTGAAGATCGCTGCTGTAATATCTGAAGGAACCACTTGTCAGGTTATATTACAGGGAGGAAACTTGTAATAAAGATTAGGGGTTACTATTAAAGTTCACTTGATACCAAATTGGACTAGGGGCTGTGTGAATCCTTGGGAGTTTCTGGAAAAAGAAATCCTGGTGGTAACACTAGGAACCTCCTGGGGCTGCAGTAGCGCCAATCTTGCCACTGCCCATGAAAAGTGGGAAAAAAGTGAATAGGAAACTATTGTTTGTTAAGACTGATAAGAATTAGAGGGCACTCAGTGGAACCACCAGGTGGCAAGTTTGAAAATACACAACAAGAAGTGCTGTTTTACACCACACATGATAACTTGTGGAACAAGTTGCCACAGAACATTGTGGAGGCCAACAGCGTAGCCAGTTTCAAAAGGGGATTAGACCAATTTATGGAGAACAGGTCCGGCAAGGATGTAACTTCAGGCTTGGGACATGTCTCAATATAAGAGTGCTGGTGACTCAGGGGAGGGGAGGGGGTAATGCCAGTGTACAACTCCAGCAGGGAACACGGAAGCTCTGAGTCATGACCTTTGACCTTTGGTTTTACCTGGGATTGCCATTTGGTATCATCACGGGCCTAAGTTTCTCAGCTCACTTACCTGAGACTGTCCCATGCTAATGGCATTCAGGCTGGACTGCTTCTGGGCTTAAGGTCTTTCTAGCAACCCTTTGACAGCTGGAGGAGGAATGGGGTGACAACCAGCACGGAGCAGTGTGAGGTCTCAGGACTCTTCAACAGAGCCACTGTCAGAGGCCAACTGCTGGGCTACATGGACTGTTGCTCTACCCCAGTGGGGCAGTTCTTAGGCTTGTCCCTTGCATCACACCTGTGCAATGCCATGAAGCACCAGCCCGGCAGTCCCTCCGCAGCTGGGCTGCAATTCTCAGGGCCACGAGCTTCTCTGCGCTGTTGCTGGAACGCAGGCATGCGGAGGAAGCCCCGTGAGCAAGCCTGGGTTGTGATCTCCCATTACAGCCTCAGAGGGGCGCAAAGGTGTGGAGAGAAATCTTCGAGGCGTACCTTCCCTTATGTCCCTGGTGCTGCTGCCGGCCCAGCCTCCACTCCCTTGGGCCAGTCCGCGTGTGTATGGGGGAGGGAATGCGACACAGCTCAGGGGGACAATGGGCACCACGGCCCTGCTCACCTTCATATGCTCGAAATTGGTGATGCCCATCTGCGGCAGGCTGCGGCAGTGCACGTGGACCAGCTTGCGGCCTGTGATGCTGTTGGCGATGAAGCAGTCCTGCCAGGGGAGCCAGGAAGTGCTGCCAGCCCGAGCAGGTGCAGGGCCTCACCCCCACCCCAAACCCCCTGGGAAATGACAACTGGAGGGGGCTGGTCCTACCTCTGGCAGGGGTTGGATCAGGCCCAGGCGGCCCCTGGCTCCAGCCTGTCTGCTCTAGGACTTTTCAGGGAGCCACTGAAGGGGTGGCTCCCTGCATGGTCCCCAGGGTGCATCTACACATACATTTAATGTGCACTATCCTATTTTAATGCAGATTAAAGTGTCACTAAAAGACTGTGGCTGTGTGTAGATGAAACGAGAGGCGTGTTTGCACAACACTTTAAAGCGGGCTAAATGCTTTTGCACCACGTTAATAGTGTCAGTGTTTGCATGCCTCGGCCACGTATTGCTTATTAATTCCAGTCACTGTAGGAAATTTGGCAGCATAACTTACCTTAAATGACTCCTTCAAGGTGTTTTAGTTTGCTGCCCCTACAGCTGCAGAGCAAAGCACTGGGCTCTGTGCAGCTCCATGGCTCTGCAAGAAGCCCATGCAGGCAGCCTGGCACCAGCCGGGGAAAGCAGCTCCACACAAGAAAAGCAGGGAGCCCGATTCCCCCGCCCCCCGCCTGCCTGAGCTGCGGGGGGGGGGGCTGGTGTTTCCCTCCGCAGCTGCTGCGGTGCCCCCCAGGACTGCCTGAGCCAGTGCCTGTGGGCAGGTGCTGCCTGGCGGGGCACTGCTGCAGCAGAGGGAAGCACCAGCCCTGCAACAGCCCAGGGGCAGCTCTGCCCACTGGCTGCTCTCCCTCCGCTCCCCACTGGAGAGGCAGGTAAGTCAGCAGGCTGTGTGCATGGGGGGGGGGTTAATCAGCCCCAGATTGAAGCGTTGTTTTTTAAAACCCACCGCTTTAGTTTACGGCCCCCGTTTCCTCTACACATGCCCTGTGCTATTTAGTTAATGTGCATTAAAATAGGTTAATACGCATTAAGCATCACTTAAAAAGTGTGTCCTTGAGTTAATGCTCATTAAGATAGCGGCAAATGCACATTTTCTTAGTACCTCACAATGGAAGTACTAGATTTAATGTGCATTAACTAAAATGCGTTAATGTACGTGTAGCCACGCCCCGCAGGGCTCCCTGAACCTGCGGGCCTCACCTCGTACTGCGGGAAGCCGAGCCGCGCCACCCACGCCGCCACCTCGCGGGGACTCCAGGTCAGGCAGCTCGGGCCCCGCTCGGGCTCGGCCGCCGGCTCCATCGCGGCCCGCGAGGCCCAGTCCTGGCGCCATGGTAACGCGTCCTTCCGGACCCGGTCTCCATGGAGAGCTGGACTTCCTGAGATGATGTCGCCGCCTTCTCCTCCCCCCCCCCCCCCCCCGCCCGCCCTTAGGGCGCGCTCCCC